CTCTATGTATTTTCTCTGCGGGGCTCCGCACGGAAGAACCCTTCGCGATGCTTTCGGGTATTAGAACTAGAATTGTAGCAGCGGATCCGAACGCAATGCCACCTGGCACCGAAACAAACCCTCGCAACTCTTCAAGTCCCAGCTCCATTCCAAAATTCTCAAAGCCAAAACCCTTCCTGGCCCCTAAACCCTAAACCCTAAAACACCAGGTGGTCCGAGGACTCTCCAAAGGCAGCGCCGCGGCCAAGGTCTGCAACTTTTGTGCCTGAGCCCAGCGGTGACAAAGGTCTTTTCCTTTTCGTTTGGCCGTGACGTAAGGAGCTTCTGGCCATGGTTTTGGTGCTAGTGCTTGGTGCCGGGGATGTTGGGCAAACCTCAAGCGCTCACTGCAAACTCGCATGGCATAGTGCGGAAAATGCAAACCCAAGCTGCGTGCTGCAACGGCCTGGGAAGGAAGTTACTTGCCTACTCACGAGCAGCTGGAGCAGGACCTGCGGAACCAAAAGTACTCCCACAACCCGTCCATACACAAAGTACTCATTTGTGCCCTTGAATCCCTTCGCCCGAAAAATAGGTGGGCGCAGTTCTTGGAGCGATCTAAGCATGGTTGTCATCGTACCTGCCTTGCATCCCCCAGAAGGACCCAAGCACTGGAACCTGAACGAAGGCACCCCGTCATACATCCAGCGCGCCACGAAACCAATTTCTGAGGAAAACTAGGCCTCAGATTTGAAAGATCGAAAGCGCTTGAGCCCTAACCCCAAACCCTCACAAGGATCTGAAGACACCTAGTCTGATTGTGGCGGCCCCTCACAACACCCCTGGAAAGACATATCCCAAAGGGTCCATGTACCCAANNTAGTGTATACTTTGGCCTCAAAGTAGTCCCTATATAGGTACCTAAATATTAGGATCCTTATTATAAGGACCCCCAAATAAGGTACCCCCTTATTTTCGGAAACTCCCAATACATTATTTGGGTACATGGACCCTTTGGGTATCTGCCACTAAACCCTAAACCCTAAACCCTAAATCCTAAACCCTAAACCCAAGACCCAAAACCCTAAACCCTAAACCCTAAACCCTAAAACCTAAACCCTAAACCCTAAATGCCATTCCCAGGAGCCCAAGTTCGAGTCTGGCGTGTAGGTGTTAAAGCCTCGCGCACTCTGGGATCCTGGGTCCCTGGGGGCTTTACTTTAGGGTCTTGGGTTTAAGGGTTTAGATTATAGGGTCTAGGGTTTAGGGAGCTTTAAGGGCGCTTTGGATCCTAGGTCCCTGGGGGCTTAGTAGAGGGGCCTTTAGGGTTTAGGGGTTTAGGGGATTATAGGGTTTAGGGTTTAGGGGATTATAGGGTTTAGGGGTTAGGGGCCTTTAGGGTTTAGGGGTTTAGGGGATTATAGGGCTTAGGGGTTTAGGGTTTAGGGAGCTTTAAGGGCGCTTTGGGTTCTTAGCCTGTTCGAGAGCTTCATAGCTGAAGTGGTCACTTTCGATGGTGATGGAGCAGCTGCGGGGTGCATGCATATTACAAACCCCGACATCCGACAGTGCAAGCTTGCCGCAAGCAGTGCGGCCTTCAGAGACGTAACGGCGGTACGAATCATCCAGTTCCTGAGTTGATCCAACCACAAATGTGGCGTAACCGTTCCCGCCTGGCAAAAATGCATAAATCCAGTGAGTATACGTCAACGTGCCTCTCCCTGTGCGAGCGAAGAATGGAAAAAGGATTGGGGTTGAAGCTGAAGTTCTGTACTGCGGCGGAGCAGAAACCTACTTCCAGCAATTCGGAATCATTTTACATGGTACTCTCCGTCAGCCGCCGATCAAATAAAGTACACAGCTGCAGCTACGCTGCCAAGTCTGCGTCTTCCTGCGCAGGCATGCAGAAACACCCCGGGATATGCGGCGAGTTTTCGTGGGTCGGGAAATACGTGGGCCAAACATCAGCATCGAAAGCACCGAAGGCTCCGTCTCATTGCCCTCCCAAGCAGCCCAAAGCCCAGAACAACTTCACACAGAACACAATGTTGTTCCACTTCCAATGTTCTGGGAGCAAGAGTACAAAACAAAGTAGCTAAATCCGACACAGCACCTGCTGTAGACATATCTCACTCACATGATACGTATGCTGAACTCGCATGCTAGATGCTGAACGGTATTTGAGCCGTATGTACTACTTTCACCCGAAGTGCGGCACTGTTCCAAAGCTGCACACACTCTCTTTCGAAGAAAACCAGAATCATGGTGAGAGTCATGAATTTCAAGCCGCCGAGTTGCAGACTAAAGGCCGTGAAATCTGAAGCCCGAGTGTTGGAGTACGCCGGGGTCAGGTTGAGAGTTTATGGGAATTTAAGGAGTCGCTGCTGAGTCCCGTCCTCTGGCGTCCTCAGCTGAGCTCCAAGACAAGTGCCTACCTACTCGGCTGCACGCGATTCTCAGTAGGAAAGAGATACTAAGATCTCCAACCTCAAACTTAAACCCTGGTCTCTCTTGAAACATGCCGCTAGCGAGCCCTAGGAATCTGCACCTCGAACACCTGGGCACGTGAATCGTGTTTCCCTTGGGTCCCGTCAGGCGCGCACCGGAATCCTCCACAGCTACCAAGCGCCTTCTTCGCACAATGAACGGAATTCATCCGAAACGTAAGCTGTTACAGTTCCAGGCCCTGTTTTTAGCATCTCACAAGTCGGTTCAGAATGGTGATGATGACGATGATGTACGTACCCCGAAAGCCCTGGAGACCTTGATGTCGACCGAAGTAGATGTCGGGTGATCGGGTTCTGCGTGGTACTTCTACGGGACATTTAGGGACCAGGGTCGGGGCTTGCGACACTTCGAGGTTCCTGGAATTCTTTCGCAAGCTTGGTCTGCTTCACCGACGAGGTATGAGGCTTTGAGGGTGGAGAAACGGGGGGATCATCCTTGTGGCCAAGGTTAAAGGAAACTGCAGGTGGGGAGTTTGGGGTATACAGGGCTTCTATAAGGCTTCTATAAAGTATTATAGACCTTCTATAAGGCTCCTATAACGGTAGCTACCCACCTGAAAATCTCCTAGATTAAAACCTTAATCTAAGGTTAGAAGTTAGAAGTATGGACCCATATAGGGTATATAGTAGGTAATATAAGGATCCCACCCCCTTATGGGCCCTAAACCCACCTGAAACTGTCCTAACACCAAGGGACCGGAAGCGGCAGCAGCCGCAAAGTCGGCTAACGCGGCTTCTCTTTGTCTCGTCCTGGAGATGCCCCGAAGCCCTGATACCCCTTTCGTAGAGCCCAAAGGTTTAGGGTTTAGGGTCCCACCCGATCCCGAAAACTAAGCTCCAAGTCTCTCATCGAGGCATTTCTTTCAATCCTTACACCTGGAATCCGCAATGCCTTTCTATGCTTTGCTCCGGTCCGTCTGGACCTGTCCATTGTCTACCCTGTCCCTCCTCCTGTTTCTACGTAGCTGCCTTCAAAAATAGCACTTTCTCTAAAGCCCTTCCTCCCTTGTCGGTGCTCCCTCCATCACGACAAAGACAAGACGACGACGACGACTGTTGCTGCTTCTGCTGCTAGGCGATGCTACAAGTTCCACGTTTCGGCACTAGCGTCACTCGAGCATACCCGTAGCTTCACCCAGTAGAACTGCTTTTGTGGCTTACAGGAACGAGGTCGATCAGCCCTGAAAAGCACCCCCTTAGCTCAACCAGCCACATCGTGCTGCAAAGGGCAGCCAGGGAGTACCTAGCTCCGAATCGAGAACACTCCTGCCCAAAACAGCTTACAGCCATCACGTCGAGGAATGATCCCATATAATAGGGGACCCTAATACAGTACCCTAAATAGTAGGGTCCTTATTATAAGGATCCCCAAATAAGGTACCCTAATTTTTGGAAGATCTCATATTATGTAATCATCCTTTTCCCTTAAGGCTCGCCAAGTCTTGAAAGAACGTCAAGAACCGAAAAGAACCCGACCCTGCTGGTGCCTCTACCACGCGCACGTAGTCCAGGGTAAAGTCCCTTGGGGACTCCTGCGCTCTTCAAGGATTCAGGGCCCAGAGACTCCAATACCCCTTAATTAAGGCATATACCTTAAGTCATAGTAGGGATACTATTATACTTAAATTATGGTAGGATCCCTAATATGATTTAAGGTATATTCCCTAATTAAGGGGTTTTGGAGTCTCTGGGAAGGACTCAGGGCTCGACGAGTGCAGAGCCAAAAGGAACACTTATCCACGAAGTCGACTTACCCATTCCAGGGGGCTCTGTGGGGTACTGCCAAAAAGCCTTAATGGTTAAGCATAGGGCTTTCGGGGTATAGAATGTTCTGGTCTACTTGTCTGCTTGACTATACAGGGATGCTTTTATTCATCCGACCTCCATACTGTTGATGGACAAAATTCTGCATGACCCAAATATAGTATAGTACCATAAATCCCACAGTTTATGTATATAGGGTCATGCAGGATTTTGTCCATCAGCCATAAGACTTGGAACCTGTCTGTCGGCCCACGGCCTTCGGTCGGCTCGCCCTCCTAAGTCTGGCGTTCCTCGCCCCGGATCGAAGATGGAGGCTGAGCTGTGCAGTACCCCAAAGGGAAAGTCACACGCACGCATATGTACATGTAAGTAAATAGAGATACATTTATATATATATATATATATGTATATGTATATATACTTATGTATGAATATGTATGGGCATGGCCATCGGCATAGGTATAGGTATATGTAATCTTATCAAGCATGGAGGACACCCCGGCCCGCAACTCTTCCTGGGGTGTGCTGCTGATGTAGACGCCGACCTTCCCTGGTAGGCGGGTCTCAGTTTGGGACTTCAAGGTGATTGCAGTGGGTCTGCTGTTTCTGGGGACTTGGTTGGGTTTAGGGTTTAGGGCGTTTGTCCTAGTCAAGATGCCGGCTTTGGAACTTCTTGAGTTCAAATTCCATGGCCCTAACCCTCATTGACGGGAAGGGACGTGGTTTTGGGGCGTCGTGCTTGGCATCTTGACAACTTCATCCAGAGCAAGGAGTATGTTTCAGTGTGAGCATCTGCAGTTGTAGCAGTAACGGCGCGTGTATGAGCAGTCTTTACCCACCGTGCGTCTCGTTGTCATACCCGCACGCTGCGACTGCCGTCGACGATGAACGATGAATAATAAAAAACGATGATCGTTAGTATCAGGATGCTGGTAATGACGATTGTGATGGTGGTCTTGATGTCGACACTAGTGCAGAATCCGGATTATCAGAACCTGAATGCACGAAGCTACCTTCGGTGGAGACATTAGGACCTCTAGCCATCAAACAAAAGAAACTTTACAAGTGTTCTGAGAGAAGCGTCAGTCGTGCTGACAGTCTCGGATACGGACCTACTGTTACATCGGACCTTAATGTAGGGGCCTTGATAATTAGAACAGGGTGTTGGGGCATACTATGCTATAATTATAATCAGGAGCCCCCCCCCAAAAAAAAACACTGATGATATAAATCCTGCATTACCTTAAGGACCCCAAGCTATGTGGTTATGGCATATTCCTTATTATGGGCAATGCAGGATTTATATCATCAGCCGTAGTGTGGCCTACATTACCCTAAACCCTAAACCCTAAACCGACACTTGGGCCTCGCAGGACGACGTAGCAATCCACGGGCTCATCCCCCTGGCGGAAGAGGACTTCACCTGGGTCGTATAGGGGCTTCGAAGGATTTGTCCGACTCTCTAGCGGGAAGGGTAATGTAGGGGCCTTTCAAAATTAGACTAGGGTTTTGGGGGACGTTATACTATAGCTATAATAAGCAACCACCAGCCTTTTACAAGATTAGACTTGGATTTTGGGGGACATTCTACTAGACTTATAAGAATTAATAAGGAACCACGAAAACATACAAAACCCTAAACCCTAAACCCTAAACCCTAAATCCTAAACCCTAAACCCTAAACCCTAAACCCTAAGTCCTAAACCCTAAACCCTAAACCTATAGCACAGGTCATTCTTGTAAGGCCCCCCATAGCACACGGCGCCGGCCAGACCCCGGGGGCTTCAGCAGGGCACGAGGTATCAAGAAGCACAGACCCTCAAAGGCTCTCTAAAAAAACCTTCGGGTTTTGGGGTTTAGGGTTTAGGGTTTAGGGTTTAGGGTTTAGGGTGAAGCACAGACCCTCAGAGGGCTCTCTAAAAAAACCTTCCAGGTTAGGGTTTAGGGTTTAGGGTTTAGGGGTTTAGGGTTTAGGGTTTAGGGTTTAGGGGTTTAGGGTTTAGGGTTTAGGGTGAAGCACAGACCCTCAAAGGCTCTCTAAAAACCTTCCAGGTTGCTGGCGGGAAGGGGGGGGGGGAAGAACTCAGAGACTCCAAAACCTCTTAATTGAGGAATATACCTTAAATCATATTAGGGATCCTGTTTTAATTTAAGGTCTATTCCTTGATTAAGGGGGTTTTGGGAGTCTCTGGGAACTTTGAGGTCGGTTTCAGTTTTCTGAACCCCTGAACCGCGGGGTGGCCTTCAGCACCATCCTGCATCACGGCCAACCTGGCCAGACGATAGATCGTGCCTCCGCCAGAGGGACAGCACACAGGACTCTCTCATTTTGGGGGCCTTTGTAATTTGAATAGGGTTTTGGGGGGCCCACTATACTATTTCTACAATAAGGAACCCGCAAAATATAGGTAATTATTAAGGCCCCTATTGTTGAGCCGGAACGAAGCTCTCCAAGCAAGGGCTCTCGGCGACCTCAACAGACTCAGGTGGTGTCATCCCAGAAAGTCCCTCCATACTAAAGATCGCAGACCATATGTGCCCTGAAAAGTGTAGTATTCAAGCCGTATACTACGCATAATCTGTGACATACGTTCTATGATAAGTCATTGGGTATGACCAGTTTATATGTTATATATTCTACGTTACATATCTAAGAGCCCGAGGCACCTGGCAGCACATCGTCGAACTCCCGGAAAAAGGGAACCTCACGGAGAATGCCGGTGGCCTTCGCGGCAGAAGCGTTTTTAGAGGTAGAAGGGGCTGAAAAGGTGGCTCACGAGAGCGGACAGTTTTGATAGGGGTCTCTCAGGGCTTTTCAGGCCTTAACTAGGGCTCGAGGGTTTTTAACGATGAGGGCTCTCGCGTTTTGGGCATGGTCCTTGGAACTTTGAGATGGTCATCGGCCACATGTGGCATCGCTTCAGCAATGGGTCGATCATGGAAGCTCTGTACATCGTGCCTGGAGTCGAAGCAAACCAAGGACCAGGAATCCTTACCCTGGAACTTTCTTGGAGGTTCATGGGTAGTTATAAGCGGGATTGTAAGTCGGGTAGCTATGGTTATAACCCACACTAAGGGACTTATAATCGCACTTTTAACTACCCACGAACCTCCAAGTTATGTTGCGGACGTCGACAACTGAAGCGTCGAGGCGCCCATGAACCCTACAGCGACCGAATCCAAGAATTCTGCTTCTGCGGCTGGAAACCTGAATGGTAGACTAAATAAAGCCTCTGGTTGTTTCTAGACTCAAGAAAACTCCTAAACCCTAAACCCCTAAACCCCTAAACCCTAAACCCTAAACCGAAGACTTGTTATCAGCAATTTTTCCGACTCCCTGTGTTTAAGTCCGAGCCGCGCAGGCAAGGCTACAGTGCGGAGCCTGCCTTTAGGGGCCCCTGCAGCCTCTGTGTTTCTGAATCAATGTGCCGAAAGGTACTAAGGGTTTAGGGTTTAGGGTTTAGGGGTTTAGGGTTTAGGGTTTAGGGTAAAGGTACTGTGGGCAAGGAGGGACTTCACTTAAAGTTGCGACGTTCACCACAAGGGGCAAAGATCTCTTCCCTTGAGCGGCAGTCTTAACGCATTGAGGTTATTCGGCTTGCATGCGTAAGATCACCCGAAGCCCTAAATTAAACCCCTAAACCCTCAAGGAAAAACTCGGTAGCTCAGTGTCGCTCCAAGCTTTTGGCCCCGTCTGAGGTCACGGCTGCCGTGCTGACCGACCTCGGTGTCACAGCTACTCAGCTACTGGCATGCCCCGAAGGTGCTGGACAGGGACCCTGTGCGGCAAGCAGCACGCCCACACCCTCGTAACCATGTCTAACTCGACGCCCAGAAAGACATGCAAAACAGCAAGACTTTGTGAGCCCACTGACTGGTGCTAGAGGTTAGATGAGCTACTGTCGACCTTGGGTGGTGGCCCTTGAGGCTTGTCCATTGACGTACCGTATATCATCTCTCGTTGAAAGCGCTGAGCGAGAGCTGCCAAACACATCGGGTTCTGCGGGATGTCGAGGTCTAGACTTCGGCAGCTTCAATTTCTTCGTCCTTTGCATGGGGCAAGGACAAGACTTTGGGGGTTCCTTATTATAAGCATAGTACAGTATACCCCAAAGCCCTACTTCTAATTACTAGGCCCCATGGGCCTGGAAGCTCGCCAAATGCAAGGCGGAATCCCTGCAGCCTCCGAACTTCGAAATAAGCCCAGAACAACCTGAACTGCAAATGTGCCCTCCCAAAACCCAAAGCATCTCAAACACCTTTGACCCCCAAATAAATGAAACACCCTACATCCCTAAAGTAACGAAATCCCAAAAACCATCATCAAAACGCGGCCAAAGAAGCTTCTGACGCTTGGATTTGACCTGCTCCAAGAAATAGTCCTGGAGACCACTAAACTGTCTGGTGCTTAGCAGGGAATGGGGGAATGGATCCCTATGATAGTCCCTTGAAGGTCCCTTATAGTAGTCTCTATAACCCATTCCCAAATTCCCGACTAAGCACCAGACAGTAAAGGGGCCTAGTGGTAATCTAGGGCTCAATACCTGGTTCCATAAGGGTTTCTATGAGGGATCATGGTGTTTAACCATGAGTATTCGTTAAAGGGGTTGCTGCAAGGGATACTTTTTGAGGGATATTCTGGGGATCTCATGTCCCTGAAGAAACAATTAGAGTTGGGCTTTAGTAGTACACGAACATTGAGGATCCCTATGGTAAAGTATGGCTAATTATCTAGGCAGCGATACAAAGTTTCCCAGTTCCCCCTCAGTGATAAGGGGTCCTTTTACCTTTTTGTCGGTCTCGAGAAGGAGCCCCCCAAAAGAAAAGTCCGGGCTACTAGTCACCGTCACCATCATCGCTGTGCCAACTCTTTCTCTTGCTCGTCCCACTTCTCTTCGGCCTCCTCCTCCTCCTCCTACTTCTCGCTTTGCCATCAACATCATAGTCAAATCCACCGAAATCGCAACCACTTTACTATCACTTCAGTCTTCAGATGGTTGCAACCACGCCCGTGCGAGTGCTACCAAAAGAAAGTGCGAAGCAGATGTGTCAAGGCGAATATGTCTCCGGTATAAGTAGAATAGGTCGCTTGGGGTTCCACGCGCATAGGAGGCATGAAGGGAACTTCTCACTAATTGTCCCTAGACCCTGAGATGCCTCCGCCCGCAACCCGTCTGTGTAAGGAACAAGGAAGACCATGCAACTGCGCACGAAACTGGCATAGCCAAACAAACTGAGTCCATCCTGCAAGTCCATGTGACCGGATATGATTCGTAAGTATTCAGAACCCTCTACTTGCTCCCTGTTCAGGACAGAAACAGGATCCTTCTTAGGGCTCTCCTTCAAAATACCCAATCGACCAAAAAGCGAAAAGGATCCCTAACAATGACCAAGCAGATTACATCTTCAGAAATCATTTAGACAAGGGCTCTGGGGTACCATTCTACAAAAACTATCGGTTACTATGGGTACATGAGGAAGCAGCGGATTATTCATGCCCCGACAGAGACTCCAAAGCCCCTTAAGTAAGGAATATACCTTAAATCATATTAGGGTTCCGATTACAATTTAAGGGATATTCCTCAATTATGGGGGTTTTGGAGTCTATGGGCCCTGAATCCTAAAGCCTAAACCCTAAACCCCTAAATTCTAAAAGCCTAAACCCTAAACCCCTTCACAGAGCAGTCCGAGCCTTGTAGGCTTGGATCATCGCAATCTTCCTCGAGTTTCGCGCAGTTGGGTCGTCCGGGGGGTTCGGATGTGCCTCGCGGCCTTTGGGGGGACCGTAATGTAGGGGCCTTAATAGTTAGAATAGGGTTCCTTTAAGGGGTCTTGATAATCAGAATAGGGTTTTGGGATTCCTTAATATAATTTTAAAGTATAAATACATCCAAACCCTGTTCTAATTATTGAGGCCCCTATATGGCCCCAGATGCTGGCACGTTTTGAAGCTTGACTGCACTCTGCTCCTACATCCTGCACGGCTCTAACCGCATTTCCAGACCCTCGGGCACCGGACCATCACGGAGGTATCAGAATGCTCTCAAGCAGCTGGCCACTTCAACACGTCTATACCCTACACCCCTACTCCCTGTCCTCCTGATTTTGGGGGACCTTAAATAGTCAAACTGAAGTTTGGAGGTGTATTATGACGTAAATTTGCTAGGAGCGATCCGGCGAGTATGATCAGTAGGACCTCTTTCTTACAGCCCTAGGTCCAAAACCTTTCGAGTTTGGCCGCCTTCGCTCCAGGTAACCCGGCTTGCTCGAAGAGCCCAGGGACTCCTCGGCTTTCAGGGTTTGCGGGTTTTTGGCGGGGTTTATGGGGTTTAGTGTAGGGGCCATAACGGTTTGAATAGGGTTCTGAGGTATATTATACCCAGAATTCTAATGAGGAACCCCCACAAACACTATTGGTAATTAATTAGGCTGTCTTGGAGGTTTTCGGGTACGTGGGTTTTGGATCGTGAGTAGATTCCTATGGGTTAAAGGCAGGCAGGGAACCATCGAATCTTGCCGCTCACACTTCCGGATCTCAGGAAAGGGTAGTTGAAAGCAAGGGCATCACGGTTCAGCGTGACTGTTGCAAGCAGCCGGAAAAGCTTCCCAAGTCCTCAAAGCCGTATATTTCAGTATCTTGTAGCATCTTGTAGTCTCGTATGAATATGACATCATAGTATAATATCTTGTCCGTGACCACAACCCGAACAGCATCAAGCATCGATAAGTCGGAGATCGTGTGAAGTGGCCACTCCCGGCTTACAGTCTTCAACGGTCACCCACCTAGATTATACCACAACAACTGTGTTGTGTCAGATTTTGTTATCTTCTACTAAACTAGACTCTTATATATTGTGTTGTACTATCTTACACTCTCCTCCGGAGCCCTGAACTCCTCAAACCCTAATCCCCAAACCCTAAACCCCAGTGCCCAAAGCCTAAACCCCAGTCCCCAGACAATACACCCCTAAAGCCTAATGTAGGGCCTTAATAATTAGAATAAGGTTGTGGGGTATATTATACTGGAAAACAAGTATAAGTAATTAAAAAGGCCCCGATATTCACATCGGAAAGAACATCAACAAACTGCAGTTTGGGGGCCGAGGAAAACGCAGGGCGCAGCAGCGGCGGATCCGAGTCTCCTTGATTGGTTTCTTGTTAGGGGCTTTAGGGTTTGGGGGCTTTTTAGGGTTTAAGGTTTAAGGTCTAGGGTTTAAGGTTTNNTTAGGGTTTGAGGTTTAGGGTGTAGGAGTTAAGATTTAGAGTTTACGTCACCATGGCAAGGCCATTATGTTTACTATAGCTTTAGCCTAAGTTGCCATCATAAGGACGCCTTTCTGTTTACTATAGATCCCTCCTATGGTAACTTAAGCCGAATTCCCTAACAAGAACCCAGTGCGCTCTGGTCGATCTTTGGGCTCCGTTTTCCTGTGGCAATTCCGATATTCTCGGCTACCATAAGAGGACCCTGTAGTCCTATGTTGCCACAAGGGTTCCATAAGGGTTACTTTAGTCGCGGGCGCTTCTGAAGAGAACTACCATCTCTTGTCGCATCTATCTTGGATCTGTCGAGGGGTCTGAATTGAAGCAAGGTCGTGTCTTTCGGGACGCCTTGTGGATTGTGGGGGGGGGGGGGGGAATTGGTAAAAGGTTGGTTCTAATTAGGGGCTATACAGGGTATGTTCTGGGGGTTGTAGCATACCTACATAGCCCCCTCACTCACTC